ACTCAACAGCGAGAGCTGAAGAAAAAAAATCTTGGCTAATCAAACACTACTGTCAACACACAGTTTAACACTTGGCTTTTCAAGAAATGAAAAAAAAAACAACGCAAGCATCAATAACGCCTGCGGTCTTGCCAAACAAACTCCTACTGCAAATCCTTTGCTGCTCCACCACCGGGCCTTCGCAAACCAACATCACTTCCGTGCTGCTGTGGTCGATGCTATCAGCAACTCCTATACGATGATGTGTGAGCATCATCGTCATTCAATACTTTGCGCTTCAATGAAGCTTTTCAATTGAATTCCATGCCAATGTCGAATAGCGAATTTTTTTGCAATAAAGCGTTGCCACAGTTATGTATGTCTGCCTGTCTGTCGTAGGAGAAAAACGAGCAAAAATTGTGCCATTTGTCATTCATGTGTTGATTTCCGCTCCATGTTCGCTACTCCCATACACTGGTGGAGTTACTATTGTGTTGCTAAACGCTTATCCTTGCTCTAACCTCAGCGCAAGTGGAGGAGTTGTAGACGGCTCGTCGGTTGTTGCTTTGTATGACTCTTTAAAAGCGATCATTTATTGCTTCCTTTAGCACAAAGCTAGGACAGACAAGTGTTTGCTCCTTTGGCCATCCAGCCGTCCGCTGGCAATTGAGCTAGCGCTATCTTGTTGTAAAGCGATTTTCAATTATTCAAGCGAGTGATTTCCCGTCGTCGGTGCTGCGAAAGTTTTTTTTTCTTTTTATTTCTTATATTTTTTTCAAAACGAACTTTGCTGGATGGATTTCATAATTTTTTTCTTTCTTCCTCTTTGTTTGGCTGTAATCATTTCCTTTGTTGCTCCTTAGCTCTTGAGGTTCTAAAAGTGCTCATATATGAGAACCCAATCCGTAGAAATGCCATGAGCTTAGCAAGTGCAACATTGATGACATTTGTTGATTGACGGCTAGCATTACATCTGCAAAGAAATGAAGAAAAAAGTTGGTTGAAAAAAAACATTCCACTACTTACCTGTACACTCCAAGGCTTTGCTAGTTTTTTGGTACTTCAAATCAATCCTTCCGTTTCTTGTTCCAATTTCTCTCCCCAACAACTTTGATTTGTCGTCGAATTCATTTCTGGTTCACCTAAAAAATCCAGTTGCATTGAGTAAATGTTTTCCTACTCTGCAATTTCACATACATACATACCTTCCCATACTGCCCAACTGCCACTCACTTTTCACTTCAGTGCCGCCAACTGCAATGAAATCGAATTCACATTGAAACGAAATGATGATTTTGCCGACAGGCTATTGAGTTTGGCGCGTGCCAAATTAGTGTGGTCCATGCCATGCTAGCATTTTGTATATTTTTTACTATTATTTTGAATTCAACAAGCGAATTGTGGTTGTCCAACCAACCGAGCGTTCAACCAACCATGATTTCGTCAACCTTTCATCCTTTTATGCTGTCTCTCTCCCGTCCCAACCACGTGCACGATTTTCAATTGCTGCATTGACTATTGATGGCCGCATTTTGAAGTTTGTGTTGTTTTTTTTTCTCTCAACTTTTTTATGATGAATTGTTTACTTGCTCTGCCATGACGTTTGTTTGCAAATTGCACTTGCGCGACCTCTACCGCACTCCATCCCACACACACATCGGTGACGACATTGCTGCGCTATTTTGCTACCGAACGCTATGGCGCTCACCCTCGTCCTCAACTCATCAATGCAGTCGAGTCGTTCAAATCGCTTTTTTGATGCTTTGATGTGCAATTTTTTGCAATTTTCACATTTTTGTGTTTAATAAGTGTGGCCAGTGGCCGGGCGGCATAAACCCACGACCCAAATTTTGACCGATAACAACACCCAGCGGCAGTTGTACATAACAGCAACGACATGCCACTCTGGTATTGCACGTTGCCATACGATTGTTTGTTGTTGCATTTTTTATGCTCATTGCATGCCACAAGCAAATGGGTGCCAGTCTAACGTTGGGCCGCATCGGGTCTATTGAATTCAGAATGGTGGCATCAAAAAATTATTATTTGGGAAAATCCCGCGCGCGCGCGCTTGCACCGATTGACCAGTTGAGTGGTTCGCTTGTGGTCGCATTGTTGGTCAATCGCCTCGCTCCATATTTTGCAGGGGGTAAGGGATTGCGAAAATCTCGTATGTGTGGAATATTTTTGTTGCGATTTTATTTTTCATTTTTTATTCTATGCTATTCAATTCATTAATGTCTGTGTTTGCTGCGTTAATTGGTCATTTAAAACGATTTGAGCGTGGTGAGGTGCTTATATAGCGGTGTATTTATTTAATTTATTTATTAACAAAGTGCCTAATAGTACAAAGCAACGATTCAATGATTGTATAGCAATTAAAAATAGCATAAAACTTGGTTGGAGTTTTGACAAAAAAATAACACGAGTGCACTCACTCATGCGTAATACAATTAATTTTAATGAATTTTGAATTTAATTAAATAATCTTTTTTATTAGAATTCGTAGTGAATATTAGCGAGCAGTAGGGCAGAAGAGGCATACTTAGCGTTTTATTAAAGCAGCTGATAGTCAATGTTTTATTTTTTATTTTTTTATTGATAGAAGTCAAGCCAATATTTTTAATTTTTTACTCATATCTAATCTATAATATTGCTTTTTAATCTCAAAAATATCCCGCCACTTTTCATTTACTTTTCACGCCTTCAAGTGTTTCATTGACTGATTTCAACTAATAATAGCATTCGCTTAACCCACGAACACATTGAGCCAGAGAAAATCCACTTAGTTAAGCCGCAAACACAAGACGCGTAAATGTATTTGTAATTATTTTTCCAATATAATTTATATTGATTTGTATATTTTTTCAAAAAAAATTTAGAATTTTTTCTTTTAAAATTTTACATAATTTTACATTATATTCAATATTAATATTTCTGGCGTGTCGAGTTTTTATTTTAATTTTCTAGCCAAAATTTTTATTTGTCTTAGAATTTCAAGAATAACATATTTTGAATATATTTTTTGCTTTTTTTATATTTTAAATTATATTTTATTCATATTCAAAGAAAGTTAAAAAAAACTTAAAAAATGGAAAATGCCTTTAAAATTCGAAGAAATGAAATATGAAAAATAAAAAAAATTATTCAAAATTTGTATGTTATGTTTAAACATCAAAGAAAATTTAAAATTAGCATGCAACATAAAGAAAAATATTGAAAATATTAAAACTTAAACTTCTTGAACTCCAAAGATATGAAAATAAAAACTCTGAGGCTGAAAATAATTATATTATATATTTAAAAAATATATAAAAAGTAGTAAGTAATACAATAAAAAAAAAACGATTCGTAACTTTAAAAAAATTAACAAAATCATGCAGCATTCTCTTCTGACTTAAAAAACAAAAATTTACAAAAATAAATCAACAACAAATTTTACCTGATTTTATTACAGCAAAATTTAAAATAAAAGTAACAGCTTGAATTAAACATCATAATAATAATAATAATAAATAAATTAAAATACAAAGGTATTAAATAAAAACGTTTAGGTCCTCAAGGAGATGTCAAATATAAAAATTAATTTTTAAAAATTTAAATAAACTTGATCATCAAAAATTTTAAATATTAAACAGCAAATAAATATTTAAAAATTAAATAAAAATTTTAAGCCAAAATTATTAAAAAGAAATAACAAAATTTGTTTTCTTCAATAAAAATTTTTTCACAATTCTCAAAATGGAGCACACATTTTTTATTAATTTAAATCTATAATTATTCATTTGCAATAAGCTTTTGCTGCTGTCTGGACTTTTCTATTTTTACAAAGCTTTTTTATTATGGCATTCCCTTTGTTTTGTTTTTCTCCTAAGAGCTTTGATGTTTTAAATATTTATTGCCGAACTTTGATCTCAAGCCGCAATCGCAAATCGCTCTTTCACCATCATCCTCTCACACATTTCGGGCTTAGATCTCCTTTGTCCACCTTTCAAGCAAAACAAAAGTATTAAATTAAGTGCAAATTTATTGCACAAATCAACCGAATGTAGCCAATACTAAATATTTTATTGTTAAGCAAAGTGCTGCGAGCGAACGAGCGCACTACGACCGACTACGAAGACGACGACGCATCAATCGCAGGAAGCACCAAATTGCATTTTTATGATGCTTAATTTACCATCAATATTTTAACATTTCAAATGAGAGTAAAATATAAAAAACGAAACCACAAAACAAAATTTGCAAATGCAATAAAACATTTACACACGATCGTGTGCATTGATGATGGTACATCAATCTAGCCATCGTAAATGGTAGTGATCTTGCACGCGGCAACCGATCGCCAGCCATTTTTATGGCTTAATTCCCTCTCAAAATGATATTTATTTCATTTTTACGGACGACAGCCCCGAATTGAATTGGTTTGAGTGATGATCGTTGTATGGCTGTATGGCTGGCGTTTTGCTGTTGACGAACTCGATTTGGCGCGGCATCTATCAATAAGTGCAATAAATTTATTGAAACGCAAGCCACTGGACGCAGTTTGGCGCCTTAGTTGCGCGGCTTTGAGCACTCACTCAGCGCTCATAAAAATGCATTTAACTGTACGCCAGACATTTTGGGCGCACCTTTATGACATACGCGCGCGCATGCGCGTTTAATAAATACGGCTGTCTAAAAAGCATCTGCAGACACCAGATGAAATGCCTTGGTCCATTGCTCTCCAAGGCAGCGGGCAATCGGCCAACAAATCCATTGACTATCAGTGACAGCGCCTATCAATTCGTCATTTTGTCTGATGGCTAAAACCGCCGCTACTTTCATCCTTTTTATTTTCTTTAATTGCGCTTGGTTTTTTATGTCAGCTAATGGCTTGTTTATGACATTTTCGGCCAACGCCAGTTCGCTGGCACTGGGTTAGTGTGTTGCGCTTTTAAAACTGGAACTCAATTTATCAGCATTCACTTCGCTTTTTTGCTACACATCTCACTTTAATCTTCTGATTTTGTTCCTTGCAGATTCCGGTTTGCCGCCATATGGTGGTCGTGAGGACTCCATGTCTGATGATCGCTTGGCGCACATATTCAATGAGGCCTCGAGCTTGATTAAGAACTCTACGCCGGGCTCACTGCAGCAACAGCTAAAGGAGGCCGAACAGCGGCAGCTGCAACAGGAGCAACATCGTCGCTCGGCGCATGACGACTCGCAGCACAGCAATGAGGATTCAAAATCGCCACATCCGCTCTGCACATCACCCTTCTACAAGAGCACCAGCCAGTTGAAGCAGGAACAGGAGGCGGCAGCAGCTGCAGCCGCACAACAACAACAGCATCGCCTGCGCCAGGAGCAAGAGTTAACGCCCGACAAAATGGCGCGAATCTATCAGGAATTCCTAATGCGCACACCACGTGAAGCCGCTTTCCCCAGGTAAGCCATAGTTCTACCACTTTCCAGCCACTTAAATACTTTTCTGCATCCACACAGCTTTGCTAAACCACCTAATTTTTTATAGTCTTCTGCTTTCGCCTTTTTTTAGCGCCGCCGGTGGCATGCCCAGCGGCTGTGGACTACCCAACATGATGGGCGCCGATGAGAATTTACGCCTCGCTTACGAGCGTGAAATGGCCAAATTGCAACAGCAGCAGCAACAAAATGCTGCAGCCGCGGCTGCTGCTGGCAGCTTGCCGAATTTTCCCAACTTCTCCAACTTGATGGCGCTACAGCAGCAGGTATTAAATGGCGCGCAGGATCTCACGCTAACCAAGGACCCCAAAGACGCTATCAAAATAAATGGGCAACGCTCCATCGAGCATTCGAGCAACTCCATGGACTCGCAGAGTAATAGCAACAGCAATGCCGCGTCCATGTCAGGTGGTGGTAGCAGCAGCCAGAACAATGCCAAAGACTTGCCCCATGCCGACAGCTTGGAACGCCATTCCAGCGCTGGTCTATCGTTGCATTCTCGCAAGCTGGATAGCAGTGGCAGCCACACACCGGTTCCGCCGCCAACCAGCAGCGCTTCAGTCAGCATGCATGGTGCCAGCAATTCCACCGCGCCCAGTCCACTCAGCAACTCGATACTGCCGCCCGCGATGACACCCAATGATGATTTCGCCGCCACCGCTAGCCCATTGCAGCGCATGGCGTCCATCACCAACTCGTTGATCACACAACCACCCGTCCCGCCACACCACACACCACCGCAGCGTCCCACCAAAGCCGTCTTGCCACCCATCACACAGCAACAGTTCGACATGTTCAACAATCTCAACACCGAGGATATTGTGCGACGCGTTAAGGAAGCGCTCTCGCAGTACTCCATCTCGCAGCGTCTCTTTGGCGAGTCCGTGCTTGGGTTGTCGCAAGGTTCTGTATCCGATTTGTTGGCCCGCCCCAAGCCCTGGCACATGCTGACTCAAAAAGGTCGCGAGCCCTTCATACGCATGAAGATGTTCCTCGAGGACGAAAACGCTGTGCACAAATTGGTGGCCAGCCAATACAAGATTGCACCCGAAAAGCTGATGCGCACTGGCAGCTACAGCGGCACCCCGCAGATACCACAGGGTCTGGCCAGCAAAATGGGCGCCTCGCTTCCCATGCAAAAGATGATGAACGAACTGAAACTGCAGGAGCCAACACAAGCCCAACACATTATGCAGCAAATGCAGGCGGCCGCCATGTCCGCTGCGATGCAACAGCACCAGCAGCAAGCACAGAGCCAACAGCAGCATGCCGCTGCCGTACAGGCGGCCCAAGCTGCCGCGGCTGCGCAAGCTGCACACCACCAAAGCATGTTATTAACCTCACCCGGCCTCCCGCCTCAGCACGCCATCAGTCTACCGCCGACTGGTCCTACTGGCGGCAATACAGGCCCCGGCACACCCGGCAGCGACAAGAAGCCCATGATGATGCCCATACATTCGCCGCATCAGGCGAACGCTATGCGCAGCATGCATCAGCATATGTCGCCCACCGTCTACGAGATGGCGGCGCTCACTCAGGATCTTGACACACAAGTCATCACGACAAAAATTAAGGAAGCGTTGCTAGCGAACAACATCGGCCAGAAGATATTCGGTGAAGCTGTGCTCGGCCTCTCACAAGGCTCTGTCTCGGAACTGCTGAGCAAACCGAAACCCTGGCACATGCTCTCCATTAAGGGCCGTGAGCCGTTCATACGCATGCAGCTGTGGCTTTCGGATGCGAACAATGTCGAACGCCTGCAAGTAATTAAAAATGAACGACGTGAAGCGAGCAAGCGGCGTCGCTCGACTGGCCCCAATCAACAGGATAACAGCTCAGACACATCCAGCAATGATACCAACGATTTTTACACCAGCTCTCCTGGGCCCGGCTCGGTCGGCTCTTCGGTTAGCGGCGCACCACCGAATAAGAAGCAACGTGTGCTCTTCTCCGAGGAGCAGAAGGAGGCTTTGCGACTCGCCTTCCAACTCGATCCCTACCCGAATGTAGGTACCATCGAGTTTCTCGCCAACGAGCTCAGCCTCGCCACTCGCACCATCACCAACTGGTTCCACAATCACCGCATGCGCCTCAAGCAGCAGGTGCCACACAATCAGCCCGGCGTTGACAATCTCATTCCCAGCCGCGAAAATACCAACTCAACGCCTTTCGATCCCGTCCAATTCCGCATCTTGCTACAACAACGCCTGCTCGAGCTGCACAAAGAGCGCATGGGACTGAGCGGCGCACCAACGCTACCCTACCCACCTTACTTTGCCGCCGCTGCGCTGCTCGGACGCAGTCTGGCAGGCATGCCTGGCGCCGCGGCCGCCGCTGCTGCAGCTGCAGCTGCCGGTGCCGGCGGTGAGCCCGACTTACACGCTCTCAATCAGGCCTTCAGGGAGCAAATGAGCGGTCTAGATCTCACAATGAGCTCGTTGAAGCGCGAGCGCAGCGTGGACTACGATGACGATCTCGACGAAAGCCATCTCAGCGACAACGAGTCGCTGGACGGTGGCGATGGCGGCGGCGACGACAAGTCCATCAGCGGTGATTACAAAGATGGTACCAGTACGCCACGCTCCATCCAACTCTCCGCAGCAGCCAGCTACTTAATGGGCGGACTCAGCGCCAGCATGCGCAGCAGTTCGCGACGAAAACCAGCTGCACCGCAATGGGTCAATCCCGCGGGACCAGTCCCCAACACCGATGCCAATGGTATGGCAGCAGCAGCCGCTGCAGTCGCCGCCGCAGCAGCAGGCATGGCGCCATCTGCCGCCGAACAAGACCGCATAATTAATGGTGTTTGTGTTATGCAGCCGTCCGATTTTAGTCGCAGCGAAGCTGGTGACTCACCAGCCGGTATCGATGCGGAGGCGATATCGAAACGCGGTGAAACTGATGTAGAACAGCCGCCGAGCTTCATGGAGCCCGAAGTGCGTATCAAACAGGAAAAAGAGGACTGTGACAGCGACAATGAGGTGTCTGCGACAGCGTCACTAGCAACAGCAGTTACGTCAGCGGCCGCTGCAGCGTCAAGCGAAGAGAAATTGAAGGTGATGAGTGAGGATAAGTTGCGAATGGTACGCGTGCAGCGGCATAGCCACGAAGACGATGCAGCAGCAGCGGCAGCAGCAGCAACAGCTGGCGGAGTGCCTACAACGAACGCTAGTGTGGTGACAGCAGCGAGCGCAGCAAGCGCGTGGAGTTATTAAAAGAAGTATAGGCGATTAGCTGGTTAGCCGATTAGTTTTAAGCGTTCAAATAAGCGTGTATTGTTGGGAGCGTTAGTGCGTATGTGACGCGGGCGTGAAATTTAAATAAAATTGTGCAATCTGTGGCGTTAAGCGTTCAACAACTGAATTTTGTTAGATAAGCAGGTGAACTGTTGAAGAGAGTTTTGTTCAAAAAAATTGTTTTGTTAAGAAATTTTGTGTGATTTGTTTAAAAAACAATAAAGACAGGGGTGAGGACTGGAAGGGAATGATGAGAGAATACTGCATTTAAATGCAGTACTTGTTGAAGTATATTTGCTATTTTAAATTTAAAAAAAAATTTGCTTTCATTTGAGTATTTTTACACTATTTTGCCGATAAAGACTGTATACAGGTTTAGTAGTAGTATTTTATTTTTTCTTAGGCTTTAATATCCTATTTTTCCAATGCATTTTTTCACCTACCCTTTTGCCCATATACCAATGCATGCATACCTAGTTTAAAGTGTAAATATTTAATACTTTAATTTCCGTTAAAGTTGTAGTAGTGGGCGCCCCGCCACCGCAAAATGTAAATAGTTTATGGAAAAAAATTTATAAGTAAAGAAATACATTATTGAAAATGAAAAAAAATAGTAAAGAGTATTTAATTATTCAATTTAAAAGAGATTACAAATGTAAAAGATGCTTTTGCGAAGGCCTCTTTTTGATCTCAGTGTAAAATCAAAGTAATTTAAATGAAAAAAGGAAGAAACCTTGCACGTGGACATAGCATAAAAAAAAAAGAAATTACGAAAAGCCGCCGTAATTATTATTATTACATTTTTAGGCTGAGTAGTAATTATATAGTTATAACAACAACAAAATGTTGATAAAAACAATGAGTATTCATATTAAGCGACAGACGGAAAAATAGCAAACCAAAAATGGCATTAAAAAAGTAGTAGTATTTAGGTTAAGATGAATAACCGTAAATACATGCATAGTACATGCGCATATGCAACATGTAGTAGAGTAGAAAAAAGCAAGAAAAATAAATACTTAGCATATGATCGCAGGTAGTTACAGGCAAACGTATAAATAATAATAATTTAAAATATTTAATTGAATTTAATTAACGTAGTAATGTACGGCATTAAAAGGCATTAAAGTTAGGCAACTGAGTTAAAAATATGCATATATATACATACATATTAATGTAAATAAAAAAATATGCGTAGCAAAGAATATACATACACACATACCTAGAAAGAGAAGAATGCAACAATAACGTATGATAATGCAAAATAAAATTGTAAAAACAATTTGAAAAATAGATTTAAGTCCTGAAATACGTAATTTACTAAAAGAGATTTTTTTGGTTTTGTTTTTTTTATCGAAAAAGTTTAAGAATTTTTTTTTTTAAATAAAATAAGAGTGAAATAAATTAAAACACAAATAAACGAAACTAAAATAAAATAGCATAACAAAATTTAATTAAAACTAGAGAAAAAAATTACATAATTAAATAAAATGTATAAATAAATAAAATAAAACAAATTTAATAAAAATTAAGGTAAAATAAAATAAATTGCAATGAAATAAAATGAAATAAAAAAGCAATAAATTCATTCAAAATAATAACATAAAATAAAATAAAATAAAATAAAATAAAATAAAATAAAATAAAAT